CCGACAGTACATATCTAAAGAATCATTGTTTCAAAAACAGTTTTCTTTGATTTGCTTTTTTTATATTTTTAAATAATGTGGCTAACAGTATCAACTGAGCAGGAAAAATGTTTCATTTCTCTGTTATAATTAATGACCAAAAAAAGAAAAAAGTACTGAATTGAAATTTGAGATGGAAGTTATTTTACAATTTATAAATATTGCAAATTTTTTGCTTACAGCAAAGAATGATGGATTTAGCTGTTCATCCATAGGTAACTGCGAATCAGCGAGTTGTGCCGCTGCATCGATGGATGCGGCAGACGACAAAGCCCTGGTCGCAACAATACGTCCGGGTCCTCGAGCAATTACCGACAGCATGGTTGCCCGATTCCAAAACACAGTGATTCTGTAGCTGGTGGTAAGCCAATTTTTGAAGGGAAACCCTTCGATATGCTCACGCCCTTTTGGTTCTTCACATTTTTTTTCTACTTATTTTTTTTTCCCTTCTGCTTTCTGATTTTCTGTAGTTTCACCACTGTTTACACAATATTTTTGAAACTCTGCCTTCTATTCCCATATCAGAATTGCAGCTATTTATCAACAGAATGTGTAGTTCTGCCGGTGCAACGGCTGCACATAGCGATCTTTCTTTCTCCGCTTTTTTTTTCCTCGAGCAGCGTGCAAAATGTTCATTGGTGGAAGCTCCGCCCCAAACCTAGAATGCTTTAACAAAAAAAAAAAGAAAGGAAAGAAAAGAGAAAGAAAAAAAGGAAAAAAATATCATACATATTTATTTACATATATATATCTATAGAAAAAATTTATAGCGTCAAGTGCATTTTTTGTGCTGATTACGTTTTTTTTTTATCTGGTCTGAAAACGTACGTAAGCAAAGCATCGAATGGTCCTTAAAAAGTTGCTATACTCATATTTTCCGGGGTAGTAATTTGATATCTCGATAACATGAAGATTTCCTTCCAGCTACTGTTCTGCTTAGAAGCAGCAACATATTGACTAAATGGCTCAGCCTAATGTTGACCAAATATGGTGAGAGTGAGCAGAAAAAAAAAAAATTGCATCCAGACATCATCATACGTACATCGTTAGTACACATGAAGATGACTTCAATGAATTGATCTTTGC